TATAGCTAGGTTATATTGTACCGTAGTGTCAACAATTTTGTTCGTTTGCCTTTTTCCACAGTACATACTATAAACTCCTTTTAATAATAAAAACACGCTGTTAGGTAATAAATCAAGGATTTTACAATTTTACATATTATTAAATAACATAATTATTGACTGAACCCTCAGGCGCACGCACGATAGGTTGAATAACTTTTGTAAAGCTACTAACTCCTAGCGCGGTGACACTGTAAAGCAATTTCTGACATTGACTACCACTGTTTATCAAGTTCCGATGTGATATTTACGAATTACGTAAATTTGAATGCGGAAAATTGTTAATTTGAAATAATTAATGAATGATAGATTGTGAGAAGTTATGGCTGTAACTTAACGTAGGTAAAACACATTTAATTACTCTATTTTTTTTTTTTTTTTTTTTTTTTTTTAATTAACATTTGTAAGCTATCGCGGAATATCGGTAAAAGGAATATAATATCCATAGCGCTAAATAACCTGCATCAAGAGCACACCCCAAAAAAAGGAAAAAAGGGAAGAAAAAGGGGAAAAAGAAAAGGGAGGGGGAAGGGGAAAAAAAAGATGAAAAAAAAAAAAAAAAAAAAAAAAGTTTGTATTGAATGGGTAAAAAGAAAAAAAAAAAAAAAAAAAAGAAAAAAAAAAAAAAAAAAAAAAAAGAGAGAAAAAAAAGAGGGGACTTACACCAAGACTTATAACGTGCTCACCTCAAGTGAACATTGTTGACTATAATATGTACCAGTTTTCCGAATACATACAGGGAAGAAACCTAATCCCTTATTCAATTACAATAAAATAACGTCTAAAAGCCGCGACCGCGCCCCATTGACTTTAAACCCTCCTCAAATATTCAAGAGGGGTTCAATTTTATAGAGTGATAGCCTTTCAACGCTTCACCGCCGCCTAATCCACGGGTTTTGCTTACAGATTTGTAAATTAATTAAAGACGGCGAGACGGATTTATGATTAATTTTATAGGTATAACCTTTCGGTGCGACTTTTCCGGATAATCATTTAAGAGGTTAAAGTGATCAATTTGAACTTGTATATTGTTTGCACATGTATTATATGTATACAAATAATTTTGAGATTTGAATCTGAGAATGAGTTTGCTATAATGAAGGTAATTAAATTAATTAGTGTCTCTTTACTTGCCATTACTTGGGCATAATGTAACTTCCAAAGCCACAAAATTGTGTGAAGTATAAGCGAATTTATTTCAATATTTCAATATTTAAAAAAAAAAAAAATTCATTTGTGTTTTAGACCACTTTTGTTCGTAGATGCTGATTTGTATTCAGCTTAACCAATAATTAGGATCAGTACACATATAAACGAGTTATTACTATAGTTTCAATAATTTTTCAGTCGGCTTAAAACTTTGCTTAGAAGGTATCCGCCAAAATGTTGTAATCTTAATTTTATTCCTACCACGTTAGAACGTAATTATAATATAATATTTAGTTAATATAATTGAATGTTTCGTTGGATTGGCACTTAAACCAAATAAGTTGTTCACACGTTAAAGTTCCAGCAGAACTGTCAAAGTTGTCAGCTAACAATGTCAATTGCAAGTTCCAACGAGGCGAGTTGATCGATCGCTTCGCCACTGGTTTTTGGAGTCTTTAAAGCAATAGATTTAAATTGATGATGCTAGATGTATGGAGTTAAAATTACATTAGTGACAAGAACCTAGTTACTTTAATTTAGCAGTTCGTATTATAATAAATAAACCGTCGGGAAATTGAACTAAAGATGCCAGCAGGCGATCTTATTTCTAACAAGCGATCTCTTCAAGGTAACCCATATACAAATAAAATATATTAAATAAATAATATATTCAATGTAAATCTAATGTTACAAATACTTAATACAATAAATTAACTATGGTCTATGCCAAATATTTTACTTAAATTCTTGTGGTATTAAAATCGAGTGTTCCTACATAAAATACCGACTGAATAAGTAGTAATTTAATGATTTTTATGTCACAATTCATAAGAACAATATTAATTGTAGGAAGTCGAATTGAATTAAGTATAATATAAAACGCTAAAATATATTTTTCTCCACTTTCCGCACTTATTGCGTTGAAATTTTTGCATCGGCTTCTATAAATTATGGTATGTTTTTTTTCTAACAAGCTTGTGTAGAAAAATATTGAGCGAAAATCCATTGAGTGTATTAGTAGGTTCGCACGTGCGTCTCCAAACTCGGATGTCCTTGTTCACTTGATCGATCACCGAATTACCGAAATTCACGAGAATTACATTTTATTTCTGAACGAATTTCGGAAGATTGACGTTTTCGTTAGGCCCGTATTGTGTTTTTGCGACGGGATTATGTTGGAAATTGAGATGTTTTTAAAATTTTAGTTAATTTATTTTTAGAAGGACACAAAGATACATGGGTACTTCAATTATAATTTTAGATAAACTTTGTAAACTGTTTATTGGTGTACATCTTTAATATCTTTAATGACGAACGATTATATTATATTCTATTATATTCTCTATGAGTTTTTTTTACCATCAAGGGTATATCAATAGTCTTTTTTATTTATTTTGTAGTTGATTAGCCTTCTGTGCTAACAACAAACTATTTTTATCGGAAAACAAGCCGTCGGCGTACATGTTATGTAACCCAAAAAAGCAATGGAGGAGGCAATATCTGTATTATATATGTGATTCTTACACTGTCTCTTCAGGATGATACCAATGTACCAACAAACAGAGATTCAATACTTTTGAATTGCTGATAGAAATATCGATAAAGAACTCAAATATAATTAAATAATTGCCAAAGAAATAGCGCGCAGTTTTCATATATTTAATTATTCTATAGCTAACAAAAAAATAATGTTATGTATACATTCAATATTGTATCTCATACGGCTTCGTCTATGGTACTGTAAGTAATTGGACTCATTTTAGCTGTGACAGGTGAAAGTATGATTGTTCCAGAAGAGTTTAAAGACAAGCCAAATCTTGGCACAAATCACAAAACTCCCTTAACAGTTAACACATTTAAGTGCTTGCAAATGCATTGTACCTAGGTACGTTACTATCCATTTGGAGTATATCTTTTCAATCTATTATTAAAATAACAAAAGCGTGGTAAAAATCAGTAGCATAGTGGTGGATGTAGTTGAAGGGGGCAGGGGGAGGGGTGCGACGACATTTTGATGGATCGGCCGCTTTGTGCGCGGACGTGGGACAGCCATTGTGTATATCACTTTATTCTGTATATTTTCGGATTTCCCCTGGATTTATATTATTTATTTTATCGTATGTATAGTTATCGTTACATAAAGGCATTTATTAGTTTTTATTATGTGCGTAACTAATTTGCTCCCACAGAAAAGGTAGAGATAGTAAGAAACGGGTATTTCTCTCTTCCTTAGTGACATTTAATTGTAGTGAAATTTGATAAGGCGTTGAAAAATGCATTTGCATCTGCGCTTTTTAAAGCCTACACGATTATAGAAATTGCCGGACATCTTTTAAGCGAAAACATGTCCGGCATTCAGCTCACCGTGTATAAAATATTATAAGATTTATTTATTTATTTACAAGTCTTGTTCTAAAAGGTAACCCTAAATCAACAATGATGAATAAAACAAACGACACAACAATTACAATATGAAAAAAAATAATCACTAATTATTATAGGCACTTACAAATAGAACTTTTGTCAGTTCACTCAACGGACGGCCACTAAAAAAGATCCGAGTAAAGCAATTAATATGTGCTTTTTAGGAGGTATATCCTATGTCTGGGTACATGTAGGAACGGCTAAAATCGTAACAGTAGCTAAAAAGGTCTTTCGATTCGAATGAGTTATTTACTCAGGCATAACAAAGAGGAAATATTTATTTATACTTTATTACCTTATATAAAAACATACATATACAAAATATAAAATTAAACATAGTTGCATTTTTAAAACGAATAAACGGAAAACTGTGAGACCGATTTTTGAAGTGAAACTTCTTTATCGGCGTTGGAAAAATATTTACCGTCTCATTTTTTATTATTCGACACTTAATATTTGAATGACAATTCAATTCATTAAATTCCTAACATATCTTCCTTTTTCCCTCCCTCTAAGTGTCGGAAATCTAAAGTTTTAGATTTGTATAAATATGAACAAGAGTTAAAAATTAGTTTGCCAAAGAAGTTTCACTTCTGACATGTGTACTTTGTACACACACACTTTATTTTAAATTGTAAACAGTCTTTCATCAATATCCCTTAGTCACATAGACTGTATAAAATGTATGAAAAATACAAATAACTGGGTTTTTTACGTCTTAGGATCTCATTGCGTTTTATAGTGAAAAATGTTTTGTTGAATTGTACCTCACTTGTCATGTTCTGCGGAACTGTACCTATTAAAACGAAGATAGACAGATCTATTTCTATATTTTAAGGTTTTTTATAAACAATATATTAATCCTTATTCACCTTTCAATTTTGATCAAAAATGCATAATAATCATACACAACGTGGGCATATAATATGTGCATAAGCAATAAATTGATTGAGGCGAGTGAGACCGCGAACAGCGTTTGAAAAAATTAAAAGTATCGAAACGTTTTGGGCGCTCTACACTAGTATCGATGGTCAATAACATTGTACTGTGACAAATGCGCTTCCATCTAGGAAGATGATTCATTTATTCAAGAGGAAGACAATTTTAGGCATATTTAAGAACTCGCCGTGATTGAACAATGACAGTAACTCATAAATGACACGGGTCAGACACATCTGTACGTTTTAATATTCATTTTAGGACCAGACTCTACCATTACTTCGTACCAATATATAATTATGTTCAGCTGGGTGACATAAGGAGGGAAATTAAACGATAATTTAGTAATAATAATATAATTTCACCTAATAATCACATTCCGCTCGTCAACATGTTCAAATAAATATAATTTATGTACACTTCGTCTGCGCAAGAGATTCCTAAGCATCCTAATTCGCGGCTTCACTTGCGATCCTGCAAAAAAATAAAATATTTTATACCTTTTTGATATATATACATATTAGCGCCATCTTTAGTCAACGCCATGATAGGTTTTATTAAATTTTATTAATTTAATAAAACCTATCATGAATATGATTCATAACTACTATAGCTTTACGTTCTCATCTGAGGCTCGGGGGTGTTCAAGCGCCGCCAACGTATATTGAAACTTTTCATAGAGAAAACCGAATTTTGACTTCCCGGAAATCGAACCCCAGCCCTCATCGTACCGCTACATCAATTAGACCTTTAAAATATACTCACTGGTTAGCCAATACCGCACTAGCAGCGGCGACTACATCCGGAGGTCGTGGCAAAGCGAGCGTTTCCAACGAACGCGCGTACGGCATTGGAACGTCTGCGCCCGTCACACGCCATACTGGGGCGTCTAGTTCGAAGAATGCGGGCGATTCCATTATGCGAGCGCATATCTCTGCACCGATACCTGAAATTGTTGTTATTCAAACATGAATGACAATGAAAAAAATATTTAATTTACATTTACTGCCAGCTTTCAAATCAAGAATGTAAAGCGAATGAAACGAACTCGCAACTTTCTGTCACTCATTTTGATTGCCAAGTTTTTATTTTACAAAATAGTTGTAAGGAGCTAATATAACTCCATAATTGCATGACATCTTGAAACAGTATTTATGAATTTGGTTCATATATATTTAAGTTTTTAATTACAGTGTAAACTCTATATAGAGACACTGAAGCAAATTCCTTTTTTCTAGCGTAATAGGGTTATTATATTAGACAAGATAAATACAATTAAACAATCCAAACAGTCTGGAAACGGTATAAGGTAATTTCTATAACATACAATTTTAAGAAGCAATGTTAGCCGCTCTTGGCTAATAGGTATTTTTTTACGTTAAATAAAAACACTGTCAACGATTATTATCCTAAAATTCTCGTCTAAGGGCTGTTTGTGGACGGTAGAATAAGAAGAGTTGCAGCTACAATGCGTCAGAGAACAGTATCTGTTGCGGGGCAGCACCCACAAGTTCCTAAGGATTATACGTCAGGTAGGTAATAAATTAGATGAATTAGCACTAATAACGAAATAATTTAATAAGAATAAAAAATCCAGTGGCGCTATAACCCTAGAGTCTTTAGATTGCATCTATTCCTTTGATCAATTTTATTTCATAGAAAAGTAGCTGATCAGACAATGACATATCATAGATTTTTAGATTTTAGACATGACACTTTGTATATTTTAATTTTAATATTTTAAAGAGTTTTTTACGCCGGCTTTTTCTCTCGGCCAACACCCTCTGTCTTCTTTGCCGATAAGTAGGGATATCTACCGATACAAATTTAATGACGTAGAATAAGTGATACCTACATCTTATATTCCATAATAAATATTTTTTTTCATGCTGAAGCCACTAGGCCACTGCTCAATGTTAAACTTGAACTTACCATAATATTTACTTTTATAGATTTTAAATTTAAATTGCTACTAACACGTACTACACTGCACTAACACGGGACAATGTTAATAAGGTTTATTATCTTAACAAATTTTCATCCAATATAATTAAGACAATACAGTCTTCAACTGTCAACAATACAAACCTGATTGAGGCCATCCTTGTTCAACAGTAATGAGGTGGTGAGTCTTGGAAATAGATCTGGCAATTGTGTCCATGTCCAATGGCCTGATAGTACGTAGATTGATAACTTCACACTCAATACCTGAAATTAAGTACATTATAATAGGTTAATAAGATGTAAAGGTATTCCGATAACCGTAAGCGTGTCAGTAGATTAGATGTTGTGAAATGGGTAAGTTTTTTTACAGCATTACCTTTTAATAGATTAGTAATTATATTTTCTAAACTTTGGTTCAAAGATACTTTATTTCTCAAAGAATTACTTTCACTTAGTGAGAAAATTTAAGGTAGGTTAGTTGTGTACAACATGTTATCAAATTATTAGAAAATAAGCTAGTTAAATAAAAATATTAGTTACTCTGCAAATATATAAATATAGACCATGAAATTTCATATAAATTGATTCGATAAAGTAAACTTTTCTAACTATAAATATAATATATTTTTTAGTCTTATTAGCAATGAGCAATGATGATGATAAACGATTTAGCAAGACGCAAGACAAATATGTTAAACAAAGTTTACGCATATAACAAAATATTGAACTTAAATCTATAGCAAAACATAAACAATAAAAGTAACAGAAATATAATATACAACTCGGCTTAAGATTTGTGACTAAACAAATTCAAGATTATTTGCTACTAGATGGCGCTATCACAGAAAAAATAATTAAAGTATGTTACCCTTTATCCTGGGCTATAATTACGGTGGAACTATAGGAAAAGCTTGCTTTTATATAGACAAATATTGTTACCATGGTAACCAACATCATACTATCTTTAATCAAAATGCCTTCTGAAATCTAATATAAATTGCTCTATCACCTGTTTAAAGAACTATACGCAAAGAATAAGTGACTTTCCTCCTCGTGAAGTATCGTTATAATGATAAAAAAAAATTGTTACCTAATACTTAATACATAGGTATAAAATAAAATATTATTTTTATCATGTGATTAACCTAAATGCATTAGGATATGAATATTAGATTAAAACGTAAAGATATTTAAGCATTGCAATTACCTTTTCCAGCAAGTTCATTGGCCGCCTGCAATGCTGTATCAGTCGCTCTGCCCGCACACACTAAGGTTATGTGGGATCCTTCGCGCTCTATTTTCGCTTTTCCTGTAAGATGTATTCGAAGTATATAGTAGTGTGGTTAAGTAGATAGAGAAGTAGATTTGCAATAATTTCGGTAATGTCTGTGTAACATAAATAGAAAGACTCCACCAAATTTGTTATCATATTAAAATATTTCTGATTAAAAGAATCTAGTGATTCAAGTTAAATATTATTTATATAATACTTTAATAAACAAATATTTCTATACCTATAGGCAGCACAAAGTCAGAAGATAGTGCCTCATCAGACATTGGGAACTGTAATCCATACATGATTTCATCTTCCAAAAACACTACTGGGTCTGGGTCACGGATGGCTGCTTTTAGGAGACCTGAAAAACAAAATAGATTTATAGTTCAAATTAATTTATATTTATATATTTATTTATATTATTTTTAATTTATAGTTCAAATACTCCTTGAGCATGGCTGAATCACTTTGATAAAACTATAATAATTGTTAAATACATTTATATGAAAGAGTAATGTATAAAGAATAAACGAAAATCATTCTTAATTTGCAGGGGTCAGCATCTCATTAGCTATAAATATTGATTTTATTCTTTGGTAAGTTTTATTGTCAGGTCCTCTACATATTGTAATGATGGTATATGCTAGCATGTACAGTCATTGAGAATGATGACTTACCCTTTGCATCTTCGGAGGAGTAAGGCATGATAACTTTAAGTCCAGGACAGTGGCTGTACCAGGCACCAAAACACTGTGAGTGTTGCGCTGCAACTCCTGCTGCAGCACCGTTGGGACCTCTGAATACGATTGAAACTGGTACTCCACCCGCCGACATGTAGAATGTTTTTGCTGCTGAGTTAATTATCTGAAACATGTGTTAATTTAATTTTAAAACAGGGTCAGAAAATTGTGCAAATATTTAATGGAGAAATTTGATTGTTTAGTTATGTTTGTGAATATGACATATAAATTGTTTATCTTATCTATAAAGTAGTGTGAAAGTGATAAGAAAGTGTTGTTATTATAAAGGTACACCAAAGAAGTAAATTTAATAATAAAAACACAACAAACTTTTGGTCTATATACATTTAAAGGGTTCTTTTAAAAATATAGCTGTTAATAAATGCAATTTAATATTTGATATATATTATTTCAGAGGTAAGTAGAATCTTTAGAACAAGTCATAACTTTATAACAAAAATGAGTATGTTAGTTATTGAGTTGAGAATGAATGAGTATATTGCAATTCTTGGTAATATTATATATTTGTTAAATTCAAAAAGATGTATATTTATAATACGAACTTATTAGTATTATTAACATGAAAGATTTATAATAATTACAGAATGTGTTTCAAGTAGAATTTCAGTTCTATTTTACAAATCATAATTCTATAATGACAATATCAAATATTTCTGCTGTTTTACTGAAACTAATAGAAAATAAACTTAATAAAGAAAATAAAACTAATATTGTATCCAAATTATAACTTACATGGTCAATAGCCTGCATGGAGAAATTAAAGGTCATAAATTCACATATTGGTTTGAGTCCAGCAAATGCTGCACCAACAGCAATACCAGCAAAACCAATTTCTGTAATTGGTGTGTCTATAACTCTTCTGTCTCCATATTTCTTCCATAAACCTCTGAAATTTTAAAGAATACTATTGTAATTCAAAATTAGTAAATATTATAGATATTTTTTGTAAAAACTATTAAATTTGTTGACTACCATTTGGTAACACATGTTACCTCTATGTTTTTTCTATATCTTAAATATTTTTTTTAATAATAATTACTCCAGTTTTTTAGCACTATTCTTGATCCTACAAGAAAGTAATGAAAACCCTGTCAATGTCAACAAACATGTATTATATAATAATGAAAGAGATTAAAACTTCAGTAGATCAGGCGTTCATAGATACGATGGTTACGAGCTCTTAGCAAATAACGACTTTAGATATTAGTTACATTCTTATCTGCTTACAATAAAAGGTTGAAAAATCAGTATCAAGGCTATTTTAGTTACCGTGTTACTTTATAAGCACCATCATATTGAGCTACTTCTTCACCTAAGACAAATACTTTGTCATCTCTTTCCATCTCTTCGTCAATGGCCTGGTTTAAGGCATCTCGTACAGTAACTGGCTTTGATGATAAAGCCTTCGATGTGGAAAAACTACGGCGAGAAATGCGAGCAAGCAATCCAAAGAGAACCGGTGGGGATTTCAACGCCATTTTCACTTACACTTAGGATTATTACACTTAAATACTGACTGAAACACTTATATTAACCTTTTAAGAAGGTTTTATGAGTTAAATTCGTTGAATTATTGTGGGAAAGATGTTAAAATCTCCACTAGAAAATCACGAAGGATGAATGGAGGTCGTGGTTCGTGATTACGGGTTATTCTACGTCAACGTCATTGCAAGACGTCAAGCTGTCTATACAAGACTGTCAGGTGTCACGTATCGAAATGTTTTTAAAATAAAGTCGGTGGCTATCTGGCAAGCTGAATTACTTGATTAGAGTTAAATTATTAAATTAATATAGAACCAATATTGCTCTTATGTTTTATGTACCTAATGATGATTTAGTTGTATGAGGTAACGCACTGCCCTATTTTAAATTAGACATGAATTTCAAGACGCGCAATAATTACTGCTAAAAAAAGTACCTAATCAAGCATGGTGGTATTATATTATGTATATAAATTGTCTAGCATTAAACCTTGACCCAAATTTAGATAGGATCTAAATGTAATGTGCTGTAACTCCGTTTGTCCAATATCCTGTGTGTACAGTTCCCTGACAATCCCAGTGGACTACCTTTAAGAGAAATAAGTACTTAAGTGCAGGAAATATATTATCGTATTTTTCATTAGGTACCTACATGTTTTGCGTGATGAACATGACATAATGTAAATGGTTAAACTTAGGCTTAAATATATTTAATATACTCATAAAAATGTATTATAAATAACCTATTGTTCTTACATAATATATATTATGCAATTAAAACACATGAAGTTTTTAAAGAATCGAGTAATGAACATGTCTATAAAGTTTTTAAGTGGCGATCGTATCGTATTGCTAATATCGTAATCATATTACTTATATAATTCAATAAGTTTTTTTATCCAATTCTGAAGATAATATTTATGAGAATTGAGAGAACCATTAGCGAGTGTTAAACTGACGGAAGGCGTAGAAATTATAACCCGTATGAACGTGTTCACTGACTGATGTTTTATACTCTAAGAGATGACAAATTTAAAAATATATATACTTGGAAAGATATTTTTTTAAAAGGTGCTCCTATATATCATAGCTTAACTAACAAACTATGAGGGGCGTAAACTTAAATACGTTACTGACTTGAGCTTTATACATACTTAGTACTAAATTTCGAATCTGAAATTTAACCTGAATCTAACCAATAGGTTAGTGACACCAAAGTGTGATTTCAAATGTGATTGAAATACTATCCATTTCAATTTTTTTCAGATCGAACATATGCTTGGGTCCCATCACAGTCAAGTATATATATTTCGAAAATTGTGTTTATCTCTAGGGCTATCATTATTGCCATAGAGCGTTCCCCGCGGTGATAAATCAAAACCGGGCGTCGACCCGCCTCTGACGATCTCATATCTGATGCAGCTAAGAATAGATCATTCTAATATTTTTTTACCTAATATTATCACTTTCCGGTTTAAAGACCCCTATCCCTTGTGTTCGTTTTTGATTTTGTGAGAGTATATGTTTTTTTTAAATTTAATTAAACATTTCTCACATGGTATGGAAGCTTGGTATTCGATATAATTTTTGACAGGTTTCCTTGTAGTGTGCATAATATGCTATTTTTAAAGGACATTGGCGTGCAGAATTGGAATGCTATGATGTCATTTTGACAAGAGGGGATATTGCGTGCAGACTACCTCACCTGCCTTCTTTTCAAATCCGGTGCTTGAACGCAACGGATGTGTGATGTATCATCTTCTATTTGAGATTAGTTTTCCTTACGATCGTCGATCGACATATAAAAAAAATCTATGAAAATGTCTGATAAAATCCTATCACTGGTGTGTGTTATTATACGCTTGCTATTATTATTATACGATGAATGTATATGAAAAAAACTTTTTTTCTATTAAAAAAATCTTAACAATTTATCACAATTTTAATAAAGAAACCATTGATCGACAGAGGGAAATATTAGTGTTATTGTTTTAAAACTCAAATAGTACCTACCGTAAAACTTAAGTTTTTGTGAAAGCAGCATCTACATATTATGATAGATGCGGAAAGAATATATTTTAATGTGTAAACACAAAGTTAACGAGCCATTAAGAATTAAGGTTACGTTATTGTATAATAGTGGTGTACTGTAGTATAACTCCGGTACCTAGCCTCTTCAATTTAGGTGGTTATGTACAGGGTTAAGACTAAGTTAGACATAGTCAGTTCCCGTACGTCAAAAATGTGTTGGTTTTTTTGAGTCATACGTTGGACTTAAGTCTCGTTTCTGAATCTTACCCAAGTTGTTCTCTTAGTTCCGGACTTTTACATATCTCCAGTGTTATTAAAATGATTTCAGATTCGTAGGCACAGAAGGCATAATTTTTTAAGTCACATTAATTGATTTTCATTACATCAATAAAATAGATGCCAAAATATATATGCTCCTTACCAGTTTGGGTTAAAGTCCTTTACTTCAAGTTAATTGTATATAATATTTTTAAATATAAATTGTAAGAGGAAAATCTACCTTACATAGAGTTTAGACTAAAACGATCGTAATTTACTTTGAATGCTACAAATTCAAAGGGAGAGTTATATTTTGTAACTCCTTTGATCATTACATTGAGTTTATTATAAGTCGTTGTTCGTAATAATTTAACAGTGGAAGCAATTTTCATACATCTATTTATTCGTATGATGAGTTCTTCTTTCTCAGTTGTATTATGGCGCTTCTAAACGGGCCATGTTTTGCTGCAATTGATGGCTGCAACACTGTGGCCCGGCAACATTGCAAACAATAGCAACCACAATATGCAATATTGCAGTAATGTCCCGGCCATATAGCCAAACATGTTTTGTATAGCCACATATGGCCGATGTTGCCCCGATAGGTGGCCGGACGATCGCTAGGCTATCGAATTCAACTGCAATATTGCACGGCCAGTTCTCTTGTTGTTTCAGTCACTCTCTTTGTTATGGCATAGTGTATCCTTTTCTACGCGACATGACGTTTGCTTTGAGTGAAGTGTGCCTGTTGCTTTATTCTGTGTTTTGCGATCAGCTGTATTTGACGTTAGATTACTACGTAAAAATGACTACTTTTGACATTCTAGTAAAGTTCTTGAATAATTTATTATCAAGGCTTATTTCTAGACTCAAATTGTCTACTGTTTCACGCCTATTTAAGTAAGGTCGAATCCACAATCTCTTCTTTTTCTGTTTCTTTTTTAAAACAATATAAGCTGCTGCGACAAGTGTGATTTCGTCAGCCATTGTTGCCGGTTTGTGTAGCCCGTTTAGGAGTCTGCATCATGGGCCATACTATTGCAGACATATTGCAACACATTGCCCAGCCATAGATTGTTCGGCCATCAGCTGAATTAAAATATTTTTATAATGGCCGGACAATTAGTTGCCAACAGTGCAGCCATCAATTGCAGCAAAACATGGCCCGTTTAGACGCGCCATTATGGCGCGTCTAAACGGGCCATGTTTTGCTGCAATTGATGGCTGCAACACTGTGGCCGGCAACATTGCAAACAATAGCAGCCACACTATGCAATATTGCAGTAATGTCCCGGCCATATAGCCAAACATGTTTTGTATAGCCACATATGGCCGATGTTGCCCCGATGGGTGGCCGGACGATCGCTAGGCTATCGAATTCAACTGCAATATTGCACAGCCAGTTCTCTTGTTGTTTCAGTCACTCTCTTTGTTATGGCATAGTGTATCCTTTTCTACGCGACATGACGTTTGCTTTGAGTGAAGTGTGCGTGTTGCTTTATTCTGTGTTTTGCGATCAGCTGTATTTGACGTTAGATTACTACGTAAAAATGACTACTTTTGACATTCTAGTAAAGTTCTTGAATAATTTATTATCAAGACTTATTTCTAGACTCAAATTGTCTACTGTTTCACGCCTATTTAAGTAAGGTCAAATCCACAATCTCTTCTTTTTCTGTTTCTTTTTTAAAACAATATAAGCTGCTGCGACAAGTGTGATTTCGTCAGCCATTGTTGCCGGTTTGTGTAGCCCGTTTAGGAGTCTGCATCATGGGCCATACTATTGCAGACATATTGCAACACATTGCCCAGCCATAGATTGTTCGGCCATCAGCTGAATTAAAATATTTTTGTAATGGCCGGGCAATTAGTTGCCAACAGTGCAGTCATCAATTGCAGCAAAACATGGCCCGTTTAGAAGCGCCATTACATATTGTCTTTAAATCATTGCGAATATACTAGAAAATATAATAGTGATTCATACACGTTTTATCACTTTATTTATTGTTCATACTTCGTACCTTAAACGTATAAAATACAGGTTACTAAATTAAACAAAAATAAAATTCAAGTAACACTGGTATAATGCAATAATAAAATGACATCAAAACTAAAAGCTAATCTTAAGGTTAATGAATCAGAATTAATATATTTAAGTAGCTAATTACAAGGTAGAAGGGAAATGAACTTGAATAGGTGAATCTTTAATTTATTCAGTTTTATGCGTAGGAGTTTCACGGATTAGATTGTCATTGGAACGCAAATCAACAAATACTTTAGTTGAGTTATCGGAATTTGTTATTGATAATAACCTGATGTTAAGTGATTATGCCCATGAACATTCTCAATCTGGAGGCCTCGTTCTTTTCTTGAAGGACCCTAAATCGAATTGGTTTGGAGATACTTCAGAGGGTAGCTGGTTCCACATAGTGCTGGTGCGCGGCAAGAACTGCCTTTAATAACGCGTGTGTGTGGAACGACGGACGTCGAGATGATACGGGTGGAATGTCGTATTCTGCCTCTTTGTCCGTTTATCAAACCCATCTGCAGGTATTAATCCGAACAACTCCTCTGAACACTCCATGGTAAATTTGGTAGTAGATGCAGAGATCAAGCCGATATGTTGTTTGTTTCTACTTGTTGATAGTTTTGTAAAGAAAAGAGTCAAACATAAGTGTTTCCTCCAACTACGATTTTGTTTCCTTTGA